AAACAACCTACGACATACAAGTATTCTAAGTTATATTATTGTTACTATTTTAACAAAGGAGAGACACTTCAATGATTCTTTTATACGTGTTTTCATTCATCAATGAAAAGAAATGGCTTAACAAATAAAATAATGAAAAAAAATTGTTTTCCTAAGGCACAGAGATGCATATATGAGATACTTGTAGGTATACAGGATACATAGTATGCATTTATAACGCTGGGCATCAGTGAAATTCCCTACTCAAAAGCCAAAGTGGAAGCAGTATTAGTTGTAAGTATTAGTAACATTTATCTCCAATCCTGTTAAAACTTCACATTTTACAATTATATTTCTATACTTTTATTAACCAAAATGTATCAGCTCTGACCATAATAATCTAAACTTGTATTTTTCCCCCAATTTATTTTGTGCAATGGATGTTCATAATACTTCTACTGATATACTTCTAAACATTATCTTTTGTCAATTAATACTTTATGCTGTCCAATGCCTCTGCAGCTTCGCAGCTTCTGATGATACCTCAGGAAAAACAGTATTTGCTTTTTGATAGTTTAGAAAAATTCAAAATTTCACTCAGCCTATTAATCCACTAATTTAGCTGCACTGAGCAAATTGCATACTATCGTTTCTGCTTTTCCTCTGGGAACACAGGAAAAAAAAGAAAGATCTCTACCTGTAAAAAGCCCACATTTTCATAACTGCCATGGACCTATACACACTATATGAAATCATATGTGCATTAAGACTTTGAGTGCACTAATGCAGAAGTATGTACAAGCATCATTAAATACTATCTTCTATTCTGCCATTTCCAACTACTTAAGCTCTGCAATGATAATGAAAACCTCTTTTTTAAGAAACCAGATTTTACAGGTATGCTGTGACGTCGCTAGTCCTTCTATAACTGCAAGGGGCTACTGGTTCTCTTAAAAAGCTGGAACTCGTTTTTGCATTTATCGCACTGAGACCATGAGATTTTACACATTTAGAAGAGCTATCTGTGATACGTATTTAAATTTTGCATATCCTGGAATATGGATTAATATACTTTATACAGAAAAATGCCTTTATTAAGGAAAACAAGTTGATTTTAAAAATTGAAAAGTTCTAAACTGTGCTTCTTTATAAAACTGCAGACTCCTCCAGATCTGCTGGTATAATTCAGAGCAAAAGCCTGAGCTTAGACAATGTAATACATCATAAATTAATTTACCAGAGAGATGATTCCTTCATTTTTTATCTCACCTCTAACTGTCAGACTTTTCTGAAAAAGTGAACAGGTCAAACATCTGATCGTTTAACTTATAATATGTTGTCCTTCGTCATATTGTATCAGACTGAGGGACGATTTACTTAATTTACAGCACTATTAATGTAATTAGCATAATATGTCCTCTGGATCAAATTTTGTCCTCATTTCCACCAATGAAATCTAGACAGACTTATGGTTTTATTAAGGGCAGAATTTGGAACAGTTAGCTATCTCTCCTTTTACATGTATTTAACAAGAGAAAGGCATTTCAAAACTGTACATCATCCGAAATTTTTGAAAGATATGTTTAAATATACTGTCCTTACCAAATCTTCTCATTTTGTCTTTATGCAGCAAAACCAGATGCTTAGTAATGTACAATCTAGACACGTACACAAGAGAGGAGAGATGACATTGTTTCTGAGTATTCCCTGTTAGAGGACTCAAAATATAGCTGGGCAGCCATGTGTGCTCTTCTTCAGGTTTGAAGACACTAACTCTTCAGCTGCAGATCTTTGTCATGGGAGTACAGTTTAAGGGATGTATCATTTAAGAGCCATCCTACACAGGACTCTGAACAACAGGCAGTCTAAACACTCATTTTCTATGTATGATGTCCCCTTACAGAGTCAGTTACAACACTTGCATTGGAACTTTTAATACTTAACTCCTCCAAGGGCATGAAGACAGAAACCATTCCCAGCTCAATCCCACGTATACCCAGTGAGTAAAAGCCCTTGAGAAACACTATCACAGCCTCTCAACTCAGCATAGCTTAATCTGATTTATAATACAATTGTATTTCTCTTGAATAAGCCAAACAAGGGAAGAAACAGATTTACAGCTGAGAGTCTATCAGGCACTACATTTCGAAATACAAATCAAGAGTCTTAAGGACTCTAAACCAGTTTCATAATGATGAAGGGTCATATAAAAACACATGCACTGAATTGCAACTAATTAAAAAATGTATTAACTAAAAAGAACACCACAGATGATTAAAAAGTATAGTTTTCTTTGTAAAAACATACTATGAGGAAAAAGACTTCAGGCAATAACATGCAGTGGACTAATTAGAAAAAGAAAGTAGGGCACCTTACAAAAATTGAACTGTTTAATCAGGCCATGCAAGCAATGCAAAGGGAGTAGCAGAATGCTGCAAGTTGTCGAGTCAGATCTTTTAATTTCAGTAAGAGGCACACAGTTCAAAGAAGGATTAGATTCTATGATAGTATCACACTGATGGCATACATACAAAGAAAGTAGGGCATTCACACACACTCTCACTTTGGTGTTAAAATGTTAATATTTTAATACTCTTTCACAATTCAAAGGTAAGTGCAAAAAGTATCTCTTGGCTGATTACCAAAGTCTTGAATTTAAACTACTGTCTTCCCTACTGAGCCTGTCACACCCCAGTGAAGAATAAAAATATCTTGTGGGGGTAAATTTCTTAATTCAAGGTTTCAATTAACACATTTAAAACCTCTTCTCGTATTTCTGCCACATCCATATTCAGACAAACTACACTTTGCTTTATACAGAATAAATAAAACCATTCTTCTCCCATGCGTTCTCTGACTGCAATGTTTAGAGACACAGGGGAGGGAAAAGGAAGGGAATAAACCAGTGCTTTGGTATACCAACAGAATCTAGACAGACAGGCTACAGCTTGCTGAAAGCCAAAACTAAGCTGTCCAGATGGGTGCTTAGCTCTAACACAGTCTGGATCCATTCCAGAGCTAGAGTAACACAGGCGTAAAGCTGTTGGAAAGCGCTATGAGGGTCTGCATGCATGACTTCAAAACAAAAACTGGTTTGAATTGAAGTTATGAACATACTTTAAACTGAAAGACAAAAAGGTTCAGAAGTTTTCCACCGCTGTTAATATGAAACATAAATGGTTTCGTGGCGAGGTGGAAGAACCATCTGCAAGATAATGAGGAGTTTTACAGCTCTTGCCTCCACAAAGTGCTTCAAAAGTGAAAACCTGAAAAATCTAAACAGCTTTATGACTAAACTGATCTTTTCTATAATAGTTGAAAAGTAATTATAGTAAAGCTATCACACATTTAGGCATCACATTAGTCGTTGGAGAGCCCAAAATATAAAGGAAATCTTCAGTCAGATGTTCTATTCAGTTCACAACACATTGTCATGGTTCAACTCAGCAGCCGGCAACTCAGCACCCAACAGCCGCTCGCTCACCCCTCCCTTCCCCCCAGCAGGACAGGGAATGGAAATGGACAACATGAAAAACTCGTGGGTAGAGATAAAGACAGTTTAATAAGACAACAAAGGAAATACTACTACTACTACTAGTACTACTACTACTAATGAATATGCAAACCAAACTATACACAATACAATTTTCTCACGACCCAATGATCAATTTGCAGCCAACCCCCAGGCAGTGATTGCAGAACTCGAAACTCACAAATTTCATGAATTTCGCAAAACTCCCGAAAAAGACTGAACTCCCACAAGAGTTCAAACTCTGGGAAAAGAGAGGACTAGACTAGAGTAAGTCCGTGATTTCTTAGCAACAACTGAAAACATCAGTGTTACCAACATTTCTCTTGTACTAAATCCACAACACAGCAGCTACTGAGAGGAAAATTAACTCTACACCAGCTGAAACCAGGACACACGTGAACCCTTTTAACTTACAACAACATAGAGCAAGATTGTACACTCCAAATGATTCAGCCCAGGAAGATATTGCTTCGACTTATACAGTAGGAATTTCATCATCCGCACGCAGGCTGAGCAAGCCACTTAACCAGAACAGGATCGACTTAATACGGAACCACAGTCTGGTAAACCTCTCCCTATGAGACAGTTCCTACAAGAACTTCTGCCTATGAGAAACACAGTAGGAATACACAGTGATAGATAGCTAACATCAGGAAGTGTATTTTGGATAGTTAGAACAGCAATTGACAATTACCGTAACTAATTTTCCTTTATGTGATTTCTGAAGAAAGTTCAGCATATGAACATGAATGTCCAGGGATACCTGTTTTACCTTGTTATGTCAACCATTCTCTTAAACAATGAAATCAACACGTATGAAGCCATGAAGAACATTCAAATATTTTCTTTTTTTCACCTAACTTTTGTAAGTATGTGTTAAAAGACTTGCACAGGAGAGTGCCAGCAAGTAACTTATAAAGGCTTGATGAGTAACTTAAATTATTTCTCAGGAAAGTAAAAAAAATATGAACATTAAATAATTTCACTACTCCACAAAACTGCATTCAAAATATTGGATACTAGTGTGCTTTGCCTGCTCAGCTCATCCACTTTCTCACTCCTGTTGTTTTTTGAAATAAAGATACAATTCACATCCTATGCTTTGAGGCAATGGAATAAAGTTTACTAATTTAGGGTTGGTTCTATCAAAGAATCTATAAATTTCGTCTTCATTTCCACTGCCTACTTTTGTGGCTCTGCTACATAACACTAATTGAACAAATAGCTACACTAAGAACATTTCTCCACATTCAACTGTATTTCCCTTCAACACAAAACAGATAGGTTTCTCTGAATCTTCCATGCAGTGGATCAGCTTTGCCATATTTGAAGATTGATCCCCTCCTGCCCTCTTGATCCCTGTAGTGCTTCTCACTCCTCTGGGGGCAGTTGTGTATGACTGCTGGTTGATACATTTGCAAAACACCTGGGACTACACAAGTGAAGTAATTTTTCTTTAAAACTAGTTCTTTTGCTGATGCTTGCTTACCTCATTGTCTGACTCCACAAGCACTTGGTCATATTCACTAAGAGCTACTAGGAACATGATAGATGTGACGTTTTCAAAGCAATGTATCCATTTTCTTCTTTCTGATCGTTGGCCTCCTACATCCACCATTCTGCAAAATAAACATCCACATCAACTCCATGAATACCTTAACAGATGAACACATAAGCACACACACAATAACAAAACTCAAAAATTTAGTTGAAAACATAGTTTTGCTTGTTGTTTGTTTTTCTTAATAATTTTTTCCATTGATATGTAATGAATGTGTTTCATGTAGATACGTAAGCATACTTGCTTTGATGTCTGATGTGTTTTCTGCATTTAAACTATTGTGGGTCTCAAACCCCTGAGATTTCTGAGACATAAAGGTCTCATGAGTCATGAATTGACAATGTATGCCCTGTGTATTCAGTAGAAACAGATATGAACAGAATAGACTTGGTGGTCTGCCTTTTTCCCCCCAAATTATCAGAGTGAAAATTCCCAACTTGTTAAAGCTCCCCAATTTTCAGAGGACAAATAGAACACAAGATGTATCTACTAACATTTTCAATAGCCGAAAGTAAAACTCAAATTTGCTCACAGTGTATTCCCACTTCTTCCCCTGTCTTAGTGTAGCTAAACACAGATGTATAACTTGCAATTGCATAGTTAATTTTTAAACAACTGTTCTGGCATTAAAGTAGGGTGATTTCTCTCTAAAGGAGTGTAATCTCTCCAAGAATCAACTACACAAGTGGTAACTTTGCATTACATAATTTACATGAATTAGGGGGACACACGACTGTACTTTCAGATTATTATTCACAATGAAACTTTGATATATATTACTGAAAAGATGAACTGCAGGTTTTCTATCAGTAATAACTACCTTAAAAGACAAACTTAATTATCTTTCATCCTTTCGACATCTTTAACATCAGCTCCTTATTGTATGTGGAATTACATTAAAATACAACAACCAAGCTCAAATTTAAAAAACATAGGCTAACTGCTTATTACGCACTTTTAGCCCATATCCTATACATGATATTGCCAATGTAAAAGGAAACAACAGAAGCAACCAAGTGTGTGTTAAAACGTTTTTCCTACCTGAAAATGACACTTTGTAAGTCGAATGGATATTCAATGATCCCTGTTGTTGGGACTCGAACTCTGAGCACATCTTGCTGAGTTGGCAGATAGGTTGAATCTGCTATGCGGTCCAAGTCGTTAAGATAGCTATAGACAGGGAGAAACAACAGGAATGTACGACAGTGACACCACTGTCCCACCAAGGAAAAAAGAAAGAAAGGCTTGGGAATGGAAATGGGCTGTGGGGTAGGAAGAAGTACAACAGAAAAAGAGCATTATCGGCATAAAAGAGGAGGACGAAGTATAAAAACTTGCTCCATCCTCCCTTCCTGTATGCTTTCATAGCTTCAAGTAAATTCTATAGAAGTGTACCATCATGATTCTGAATTTTTCATACAAGTTTGTTCGGCTTTCAGATGTAAAATCACCAAAGATTCAAAGTTTTCAGTTACATAATTCTAGCCGATTTAGAGACAAATACTATAAAACGTGTGAGAGATACAAAATTGCCCAGTTTTATTTGGATACGTAACATATCTCTTGACATTCATTCTGCAGTGTCTACATAGATAAATGGACAAAAACGCATCTCCCAAGGAACAGTGAACTGCTGTAGAACAGATCATTACCAGTTACAAAATGGTAGGAGGATATATGCCACTGTTTGGAGATTAAATTAAAAAAAAAGGAAAACCCCACCCACTGACAAATTAAAAAGCTCTCCGGATCTTGCTATCAGAAGGCAGCACTGATTATTTAGTGCGATCTCTGGCACCTGAAATTCCTGCATTCACACTGAAACTTCCGATTAAGTTAATAAGCCTGCATGAGATACACCCCAGTTGGTTAGCAAATAATCCAAAATTGCTGTAAAATTGCTTGTAAAGGTTAACTACAACGCAAAAATCATCTGCTATTGCTTAATGGTCGGTTTCAACCATAAAGCACCAAAGTACTGGAGGTTTTAATCACAGAATCACAGAATGGTAGGGGTTGGAAGGGACCTCTGTGGGTCATCTAGTCCAGCCCTCCTGCCGAAGCAGGGTCACCTACAGTAGGCTGCACAGGACCTTGTCCAGGCAGGTCTTGAATATCTCCAGAGAAGAAGATTCCACCACCTCCCTGGGCAGCCTGTTCCACTGCTCCGTCACCCTCAGAGGGAAGAAGTTCTTCCTCGTGTTCAGTCAGAACTTCCTATGCTTCAGTTTGTGCCCATTGCCCCTTGTCCTGTCACTGGGCACCACTGAAAAGAGCTTGGCCACATCCTCCTGACACCCACCCTTCAGATATTTATAAGCATTTCTAAGGTCCCCTCGCAGCCTTCTCTTCTTCAGGCTGAACAAGCCCAGCTCCCTCAGCCTCTCCTCATAGGAGAGATGTTCCAGTCCCCTCATCATCATCGTAGCCCTCCGCTGGACTCTCTCCAGTAGCTCTTCATCTTTCTTGAACTGGGGAGCCCAGCACTGGACACAGTACTCCAGATGA